AAGAAAATCCAAACTATTTGAATTGAGTGGAGCATGTAATATCAATTTTATAAATATAATTACATTAATTATTAAGATTTGTGTTCAGAGTATAAAGCAAGTGCAGGGATCTCAAACTCATGGTATATACCCCCTCTAAGTTATTTTCTATGGCCTGCAATGATAGTTTGTGTGCTGATGATTTTGCCCATCAAAGCCATCTTGCTGAGCATGTCAGCGCCCCAAGACCTCTTATGCCAAGCGTCACAACACTCCAGGAAAGCCCTTCCATCTCACGCTCTGCTGCTTCTACAGTAGCACAGTTCTCTTCAGGGGAACTAAAACATGGCCAGGGAAGAAGGGTTGGGAGGCTGGAGCTGCCCAAGGGAGAGAAGGAGAAGGTGGCTGAAAAAGGTATTTGGCCAGTTCATAGTGGGATGTGATGAATGTGTACCTAATGCTGATGGAGTGCTTTGGCTAAGAGCTTTAGATGAGCCTTTCTTGGCTCACATACTCCTTCTTTTATTACTGATTTTAACTAATCCTGCTATTGCAGTCCAAGGAACTACATGCAAGAGTGGCTCTGAGGTCTCACACACAGATGTGCTTCCTTTACACATCTTGTTGAAGGAAGCAATACCAGCAGGTTAACTGCCAGCCTTTTTGGCAAACATCATCTGCCATTTTAATATGCTCTACATCAACATATCTGCACCTTGACTAAGTGTTGCCTTTGTTATCACGGGGAATTAAAATAATGGGTACTGCAAGCAGAGCAAGACTAATGTATAAACTACATACATATCTTTATTATGGCCAGAATACAACAATCAACAGCAGATGGAATAATAAAAAAAAACCCAGCTCGTAACTAGATCATTGATGTGATCAAGGTGTGTCTGGTTTTACAGATGGGGATAACAGAATTTGGCTATATTCGTGGAAACGGATCATACTGGGCTGATAAAAACAACTGTATATAAATCAAATCAGAATCTCTGTACTTTGTCAAATAGGGTGGTAATAGGATGGGCCCTTGTAGCCTTATAAAAATACTATATAGTAGAGCATGAACTATGGTTTTGATAGACCCTTCTCCATTATGGCACAATCTCCACTGTGGTACATGGAAACCTTTTTGTATCTGCCCTCAAAACCTGCCTTAGGGAGTTTATGCAGTGCCCTCTGGAGTTTAGGGACGTTTATATGGTGTAGATACTTTGCTCAATATTTAAGTTGTTGATAACTGTTTTAATAAAGAAAAAAAATGGTTGATGAACTGATGATTCCTTCAGAGTCTCTGGATTTTTGAGATATCTGAAGTGGTTTGGTGTGCTCAAAAAGTTGTTATGAGGTAGGCCTCCTTTATAACAAAATAACTACTGATAAGTAAATTTCATTATTCAACAGATTTTGAATCCAGTGTTAGCATTTGTAGTTCACTATTTTTTTAGAATATCAGTGAAATAGACTTGAATCCAATTCCTGATATATTGAATGTAATGTATAATTGAAATAATCACTGATTTAGCTACCTGCATGACTTTAGGATAGTCACTCTTCTCTGCCCAGCTCACTTTACAGGGTTGTTGGAGAAAATAGGAGTCTGGAGCATTATGTACAAAATAAAGGTGAGAAATAAAATAATAATATGCATTTACTATGCTATATTGCTCTGATTATGACAATGAGAAACTATGATTATACAACTGTGGTACAATGATATTTGCTTTGTCCTTGCATCAGTAGATTTTTATTTGTATACCAGGGAACCCTTGAAAGGCTCTACAGTTATTGATAAAATTTCAGTGGACAGTTAATGAAGAGCAGAAAAGAATTTTTTAACTAATCACTAGCATATTATATCTTATATCTTAAAATCCTGGAATACTATTGTTGGGGGAAGCCTTGGAATCCAAACTCCCTACTTCATGCAGGAACCCAAGTTTGTTCATGACAGATGACTGTCCAATTTATTTCAACATATCTCATAAAACAGAGCTAATGTTTCACTCTCATAACTACTTTGATACTTGAGAATTTTTTTTTCTAAAATTCAACAGGAATCTGACTTCTTGAAAGATAAATCCATTATTCTGTATTCTGTTCCAGCTTGTTGGGTGTGTTCTTCTTTACACTCTCAATTCAGGGATAAAAAGTCCATCATTCATTAACTCATTCATTTATGAAAGCACCTTTCAACTGTGTAACCAACTTTCTGGATTCTGGTTGCCACTCCTAAGATAACTTTCTTGACCAGTGGCATCCCCAGAACAAGACTTTGAGGTGGATATCTAAGGCTCCACTCAGTTAAATGACCCAAAATGTTCTCAGATGCAGGAGAATTGGCTTATCCTATTATGGAGAGAAAAAAAATGCTTGCTACCCTTTAAAGAAAATCCCCATCTAAGACCATCTAGTCCAGAATTAAGCGTCCTGCTTCTCTTATTTATCTCATTATACACTTAACCTCAGAAGAGGACTTTCATAATAAATTTAGCATTTTAGACAACCTAATTGTATGCCCTAAAGCAAACTAATTGTATGCCCTAAAAAAAAAGTTCCACAGAAAATACAAAATAATTCATCAGATGTGAATGAGCAACGTAGATTTCTTGAAATTTTCCTTCCTAGAACATGCTCCTATCTAAATTAAACATTGTAAAGTTAGATTATATTCTCAGATTTTAAATCAGTGGAAGTTAAAAACACTAACTTACATTATTGGTTTAAGTAGTAATATACTGCATATTCCTTCCATGCTTTGCTATTTAATTTTAAACAAAATTGGGGGGGGGAAAGCATTTTAACTTGGTTGTAAACTTTGCAGTTTAAGTACATTATTTTAAGGGTTAGTATGCATTTCCTTTACTGGTGAAGTTAAATGCACTATGTTTGCCTACAATATATTCAGAAACTTTTTTAAAAGAAAAAAAAATCTTTTTTTAACATTCATTTTCAGCCGGTATATTTTTCCAGTACGAAGGCTCTGCTTTTTTAAAGTCCTACCTAGAAAATTTTCAGTTACATCATTTGCACAAATATGTTGTTGTTAACATTGAAAAACCTCTTTGCTTGCAGTTGTATATTTTATTTGGCTAAAAAAGGTGCCCATGTCTAATACATCACATGGCCCTTTGGTGATACTATTTAAGCTAGAAATTCCAAAACTCACAAATACCGAATAGCCAAATGTTCCAAGGCTCTCCTCGTACACTAAACATGCAATATATCTCCTCCTTTTCCAAACAGAAATAGATTTCCCTCTGATTGGTTTGATAAATTTGACCCAAGATTTCCATTTGGAGTTACTGGAGTTCCTACTGTTTTTCTGTGTGTTGGTGGGCCAAGCCCTAATCGCCCACATCTCCCAGGGAGGCCATAAATTATGGCAATGAGATGGAGCTTTGTATTCCTTCTGCTCAGAAGAAGGCAAATCTGCTGCAGCATTATTTTGACAGCCCTGAATTTAATTCATTGTTTTATGACAGATGGTAAAAGCGTACATGCTCATAGTACTGATTTATGATCATTTGGGTCTGGAGGATTCTATAATTTGCAAGTAATGTGAAAACAGATGGATAGACAGACACTAAAGTGCAAGCTGACCTGTACATTCTCACTGCTTGCTCCAAATGGCATCCATATGGCCCTAAACTTCATGCAAGGAGATCTTGATTAGCAGAGCTGGAAGTGTTTTTCATAAAACGGGCTTCAGTTATTGGTGGGTGGATGTTACTTCAGCCTGTTCGAGGGTCTTTCAGGGATCTAACCCTGGGTTTTCCAGTCATCTCATGATTGTGGCAACTTTTTCCTCAATTAAAATGGAAGGCATCCTTTTGGCATTAAATGACCGTACAGTATCTTAAATGTAAGTGTGGGTGTTTAATTCCTCAAGGCTGCTTCTTATTTTAAAAAGTAATTTCAGGAGAGGACAATTTTCATTGAAAAACAGCAGGGGAGGGTTTATTTAATCCTTTACTCATTTTTGTGTTTTCTCATAGCCCTGAGTTCTAACATGTGGTTACAAGGACACATTCCTTTGCAGGGCATGTCCAGGGTGCGTATGGATTACCTCATTAGACCAGCAGAAGATAAACAGGGTCAGCCTCATTTCCTCCTCTTATTTCTTTGCCCAAAACTATCACTATCCAATTCTGCTCTTCACTTCAAGAAGGAGAGGTTCTGGGCTTACATTTCCATGCAATGCATTGTCTGCGGTGTGAAAAAGTAAGGTTATGTGCACTCAACAAGCCCATTCTCCCCAGATAAGGAAAGGGCATATCAGTACCTCAAGCAGTGAGCTGACAGCATCCTCTAAAGCAGGGGTCCTCAACCTTGGCAACTTTAAGACTTGTGGACTTCAACTCCCAGAATTCCTCAGCCAGCTTTGCTGGCTGAGGAATTCTGGGAGTTGAAGTCCACAAGTCTTAAAGTTGCCAAGGTTGAGGACCCCTGCTCTAAAGGCAGGTAAAACTGCTGAGTCCATGTAGACACGCCACAGCAATACTGTATTGTGCTACTTGTAGTGAAATTGGTTCCAAAAAGTAAAGCTCCCACCCCTGCAGCAATATGGGACCAAGTTACAATATTGGATTCAAAATGCACAACTGGATAACACTTTTATTAGACTCAGCCAAAATGAGACCAAAGTATATACAAGCTTTCAAGTAGTCCAGAACTCATCAAAAGAACAAAAACCTCCCCCCATAAAAGTAATGTTACAAAAGGCAAGAGATAAGCAAGTGAGCAGCATGAGAATTTAAAAAAAAATGGTCAGATGATCCAGTATAAAACCTAAATACATGCCTTTTTTCACTAGGGGTTTTTAATATAACTCAGCACCTGCTGTCTTGGCATAAAGTCTTGCCAACGTAGTGATATGCTTTCATTACTCTTGTTGCTATTGCTGGCTAGCAAATATTCTGCTCTCACTGATGGTGCCAATGGAGAGAATATGTTGAGCATGTGCAATATTTCCTCCCCCAATGTAATCATCCCTCCCAGGAATCTACCAAAGATAGATATTTAGTCTTTGTTTTTTATTTTTATTTTTATTTTTATTATTATTATTATTATTGTTGTTGTTGTTGTTGTTGTTGTTGTTGTTGTTGTTGTTGGCTTTTTTATGCCACCCTGAACCATTCAGGTTTTAGTTGGGTTAACATACTGTTAAATATCTGTTTTTAATCATCAAACCTATGTTCATGGCTCCATGAACATATGTTTTCAAAGTCATAATGTGGAACAGAATTCCAAAATATTTCCTGGTAGAGAAAACAACTTACATTCCCTGTATAAAAGTGGAACCCCATAGAACAGTGGTGGCGAACCTATGGCACGCGTGCCAGAGGCGGCACTCAGAGCCCTCTCTGTGGGCATGCGTGCCATGCCCCGGAGATGGAAATTGTCCCTCTTCAACTAGCCGCCCGCTAACTCGCCGAGGTCCCACGTGGCCAGATGCATCCCAGCATGGCTGGTTTCCTCCCCCCCGTCCCATCCCTCCTGGCCTCGCATGCTCACCTCCTCAGAGGCGGCTTCTCTGAACTGCTAGCGGCGGGCTGCGGAGCCCCAGAGTGCGCCGGTTGAGGGGCCGGCAGGCTGTGGCTGCTGATGGACACTGTCGGCCCCCATGCACTCACTGGCCTCTGTGTGTAGGGGTTGATGGTATCAGGCAGCAGCCACCCCGGCCCCTGCGTCACCTTGCCCTGCGACAATGGCACCCCCGCCCTGCCTTGCCTTGCCTTGCTTCACCCTGCAGGACAAGCCTCCTGCCCACCGCCCCACCTGCCAGAGACCCCCTGGATCTCCCCCAACCCTGCCTGGCCCCCACAGACATCCCTCCCCAGAAGCAACATCGAGGTAACCATGCCTACCTTGGCCACACCCACCCAGTTTGCCATGACCACCACAGCCACGCCCACCCAGGGGTCACGCCCACCTGGCACCCGTCGATAAATAAGTGGGTTTTGGGCTGCAGTTTGGGCACTCAGTCTCTAAAAGGTTCACCATCACTGCCATAGAATAACCTCTGGTTACCTATATGTGACGAACTCCAAATAGGATGAAACTGATCTTGTAATGCCTACCTCCTGGTAGTTAACGTAACTAAAATCTTTCCCTGTGACAGATTTTGAGGGAAAAGCGGATGCTTTCTGGATCAATGTATCATTCCTTAATGGAGCTGCTCAAATGTTTTGCTTTGTGAAGGAAAGCACCCCCTTAGAGCTGCTTTGTGAAGCAAGGAATCTACTTGCTTCTAATAGCAAAGACATCCACTGCATTGCTTACCACCTTACCTAAAAAAAGTTTCTGCCCCTGTGTGAAAGCCTGAAAGAGAGAGACAAAAGTCAAGAAAAAGGCTGCAAGACCTCAAGAACTGCTTCATTGAGGCAAATCATCTGTTGCATTGATTGAAGAAAATCACATAACCTCCGTGGCATGAAACTCTGCAAAGAACAGAAAGATAGCCTTATGTCTTCAAGGGGAACATGGAATATAACATACATTTCTGATCACAGAAGCTTAAGAAAGATATCCATGCAATTTTATCAAAAAGTGCCTGACCACTCAACCCACTACAGCACAACCAACACAAGCTGTGAAAGCCATAACATTGTCATACATCAAAAACATCTCAGAAACTGGCAACAGACTATTACAACCACATGGCATCCACTGCAGCACACAAACCAACTACAACCCTCCAAAACATCCTAAGTAAAACAAAAGACCAGCAACCCCAGGAGAAAAAACAGGAGATCTACAATATGCAATGTAAGGACCATAACAGCCACTATTTAGGACAAAAGATTAGCAGAGCGCATCCAAGCACACCAATGAACAGAAGACAAGATGAAAATTTCTCAATTTTACAACACACGGACAGATTTAACCATATTTTCAACTGGGAAACCATGAGCATTCCTAAACCAAGCAAAGTGCAAAAATGCTAGAGAATACCTCAAAGCCTAGCACTCAGACAAATTAGCCATCAACAGGCACAGAGAGGTAATTAACATTTTCATTATTCAGGAGACAATAAAAAAGACCAAAACATCTGCTCACCAGCAATCAATATCAAATAAGCAAAGATTAACATCAAGAGTAACACTAGACCTACAATCAAGAAGTAAACAATATCCCAATCAAGAATTACCAACTTAGACAAACAAGCTAATAATAAACAACAGGCTCATCAAGGTACCAACAGCACCACTCCCACCAACACTGACAGGGCAAGCCATTAATATATAAAAATAGAGCAAACCCCATTCCCTTCTAGCACTAATGATGTTACCTAGTTTGGTAATGAAAAGTCTGCAAGAAAACAGCCAACTTCAGAGAGCACCAAGGACCCCACAGTTTAACCCTGAGCTACAAATAATCTCTTCTATTGATAAAGGTATTCCAGGCAGGACTAGAAATGGTGCATCAAAGGCAACCAGATTAGGGACCCACAAGGTAAGACTACTATGGTTAGGCTCCCTTGCTTACGGTAAGAGAAGGCTGACAGAGATATATAAAAATTATGTGAGTGACACATATTAACCGGATCTATCCATGGAAGAAGGTGATAAAGTAGAAATAAATATTTCTGTTTTCCAAGGACACATTTTTAGATAATGTCCACAACTGAAACATTTAGGTGTACTTATACAGCTTTCTTTGCCCAAAGTACAGATTTCCCCTCCAGGGTTGTATTGCAACTTTCCATACTCCAGCAGAATAGGGACAGAATTATAGTTTAGAATTCAGTGGGTTTCAACTTTATACTGTGGACCCAAACACAGTTTGCAAATTAACAGAGTCTTTTTTTCCTTCTATCCATCCATCTCATATTACATTTCCATTACTAGTTAAATTCAGACAGAAAGCTCAGTTTATTTGAATACATGAAATTGTAATTAATAAATTGGCCTATAGTTAAAAAATTGATTCTGTAATGAATGAATTAAAGATCTAAAAAAGCATGCAAGACATAGCCTGCTTACCTGAGCGTCAAGCACAGGAAATCAGGAGTCCAGGCAGTTTAAATAAATATATAGGCTTGTTGCATGCTAACACTCTCTACAGAATCTGAACTACTAACAGTCAAAGGAAATTGGCAGTTGATAAAAGACCACAGAATTCAAGGTGGACTGGACTTAGGTCTCTTATGGGCGCAAAAAGTCTCAAGACTGATGACGCATTTGATCCCTCTGAGCCTGGTCATCTCCTACATTGATTTAATACTTAGAGGGATTTTTGAACAGATGTACATTGACTTGTTCTGTTAGTTTATATCATTTCTTCTAAATAATTTGTTTTGAAAATCCTCTTGATCTTTGAAAATTTTGTAACATATGGATACTTTGATTCAGACGTTATTTAGTTTTGGGAAACCCTGAATTTATTAATATTCATAAGATAGTCACCTCTAAAGGCATTTCAGAGTCCTTCTCTAAATTTTAACATTTCATTATTAATAAATTTTAGTATTTTGCTTAGGCAAATTGTACAGAAAGACAAACCTATCAGCTGCATTCTGTCTGATTCATCAATAAAAACAGCCTATTCCAATCATCCATTATATGACAATGAGGGCAACATGCTGAGATGATTGACAACTTTATAGGCATTTGGCATTTTTTATTTTGTTTTATTACAATATTTAAAAAATTAAAAAAAATAAGCTATGGGTATTATTTTTTCTTTTATTTTTCTTTCTTTTTGCTGGCTTGCATTAACTTGTCTTCTTTCCAATAAGTTTCCCAGAATTTATGCTTTTGCTTCCATTGTCCCCCTACTAGAAACAATTCCAAGTTTGAATTATTATTACAATCTAAATTAAAATCACAACTTTGGGACTCCCCTTTTCAATCAGAAAAATGGTACCAAGAGAAAGGATTTTTTCCCTCCACCCCTGCATTGCTATCACAGTCCAAATACTGCTGATTCCCTGGGACAACTGAGCAAATAATGCATAAGCATGTTAGTTCAACTGAATCTTTCTCTGTATACAAGTTTTCTCCAGAAAACATACTCTTTCTGGTAAAAGTGAGGTCACACAGATGTCTAACCACTCTTTTTTTTCTTTCATGGGACTTTTGCTGAATAACAGATAATTGAGTCAAATGTTCCATCATTAACAGCCATAGTGAAAATAAATTATTTTTTTCCTTGAAAAGCAGACTTGGAGTTTTTAAAAAGGGTGCATTGACTGAGAAAGACAGTTATAAAACTGAAAGTAAACTTTCAAGGCAAGTAGGCTGTCATCAATCTGGTTGTTGTTAGAGACATGCAGTATAGGTAAGAAGATATTAGAAAATGAAACATGATGACAAGTTTGCTTTGCTAAGATACGTTATGGTATTATGCCACTGGAAAAAGGAAGAAACCCATGCTATTTTATCTTGTTTTAAAAGCATAGTATTAATTTGTGGTTAGGTGTGTTAATACACTGCATGTACATCCTAGTCAATAGGGTATGGGCAATAATATGCTAGTTGGCAAGGTTACCTTTAGGTGATAGATCATATAGAATAGATAGCTTACATAGAATAGCATGATGCTCTATGCCATACTGACCAACATGTGACAAAATTGACCTTATTGTTTCCAGGGACTATTCCATTTAGCATGGATAAGACTATGGTAACCGTCTGATCAAAATCAATTTAGAAAAAGGTATGTTTGTTTTGGATACATTACGAAAAATTAAGAACATTAATGAAGTATATAAGGGAAATAGGAGGTTTTAAATAAGGTGCCACCTATGTTTTGGTAGTATCAAGAATGGATCTTGGAAAAACACACCTAAAAGAAAAGGATAGAAGTCAAAGAAATCAGAGCAAAAGTAGAATGGCTGCAGGAACAGATTAATTCCAGAGTGATTGGAAAATGTTATGTAAAGATGATATGGAAGTTGCTTGGAAAAGAGATGATGAGAAGATATTAAAGTACATTGTTGGAGATAAAGATGAACAAGAAGTTGAAAGAAGAGCCAATTTAACTAGCTCCTTCTCTCTTAACAGAGTTCTAAGCAGAACAACAGTTTTTAGTTAGTCCAAATCTGGGCATCATTATAATTTTACTCCTTTTGTTGGAAGAGAAAAATTGGGACCTATTTTTTTTACTTCTGATCCTTGAAACATTATCTTCAGATACCAACCTTTGACAATAATCAAAACTGTAATCCATCAAACTGTAATCCATCAAAACTGCTAAATGACCATTGCAGAAACTACAGGAGGCTTTCATGGTTTCTTTAAAATATATTTTGGAAGATGTTTGACAGAATTATGACCAAAAGGGTACAATAGGTGACAATGAAGCAAGCTGTTCCAAAGGTGGGAAATTTCTGTAAGCAAATGCCTGTTTCTGTGATCTCTCCCACTGCACCTCAAAGTAGGAGGGGATCTTCAGCAGAGATTCTTTCTTGGATTGGGCAGGCAGAAGCTATTAGGGAAATAATCTTGCAGATGCACAAGCCCTAAGTTTTTAAGATTCTATAGGAGATCACCAGATTTTGAATTGTACCTAGAAACATGCAGGCAACAAGTGGAACTCCTGTAGCAGTGTTGTTACATGGTCATAACACAACTGCCCCATTTGTATGTTTATTCAGACATTGAATCTTGCAGCAGATAACGTTTCCAGACGGTCTTTAAGAGGAACCGCATGTATATTGAACTACAATAATCCAGTTGTAAGACAATAAGCACATTGGTTACCTTCTCTATTGCCTCCTGCTGCAGCTACTACAACAGCTCTTCCAGAAGAAGCCATGAATCCAGGATACCAGGCTCAAGTTGTGAGCCTGGTACTCCAGAGGATAGTACTACTCCATCAAGAACCAAATTTGGTACTCACCCAGAATCACTACCCTGTCTTGCTTGATTAATGAAAAATGCTGCCTGCTAAGTGGCCAATATGCAGTGGCCAATTTACAGCTCCATTATAGCCTCCATTTTGTGTAGCCTGTAACAATATTTTGTAGATGCTAAGGACCTTGTCCAAGACCAGAGTGCTAAACACTGCATGGGTGCATATGCTGGGCCACAGGAAGCCCTCAGGAAGAGGACCAGTCTCACAATAAATAGCAGGCTCACCACCTACCTCAACACCTGTTTCAGCAGAAGTGGGGCCTGTGGACCAGTTCATGAAGTTGGTAGCCCAGGCTTCTTGTCCTCCAGGCACTCTTGCCTGCTGTTGTGCTTTGTGGTTGGCATGGCTTCTGTAGTGGCACTGGCTCTCTTGCAAGGTTGTGGAAGGTAAGGCTTGTCAGGGGAGGAAGGTTAGGAGGCTGGGGCTGCCTGAGG